GAACACGAAGAGGAAAATATGGTTTGGTGGAGCGGCTTGAATATTCAACAATACCCCCCAAATTGGAGTACCTGGCATATCCCAGTTGGTGACAGTAATACTTACAGTACAGTCTCCAATTGGTTGGAAGTGGTAGTCCATCAAGGCCTGCAGCTGCTCCACTTGCAGGACTTGTTGAACGGTGAGAACTACGGAAAGCAGTGGGATGCCACCAAGACGCTGGGGAGCCCGTACGTTGAGATGGTGTGCCGCCCACATGACGTCGGTGCATGTTGAGCTCAAAGGGTGAGCCGATGAGTGTTGTTTTTCTCATGTCCTTTTCAGGATCCAGTTTAGGGAATGACGCAATTCAGGGAATGGTGTTTGCTTTTCTTCGTGGAATTTATTGTTAGTCCAAAGATGGCCCAGACCTATCTCAAGTAACCTCAGATCAAGTGCCTTTATGGGCGGAGACAAAACGAGGGGAACAGGTTCTTCCCGCGAAACTGATCAGAGGTTTCAGTGAGCAAGTACTTGGGTATGTGTCAGGGGCTGCTATCCATGAAAACCACAAGTTCCCTTCCCATTGATTTATAAATGCAAGTGGAATTGAGCTCAACAGCTGAGTATCATCTCTGCTAGACATGGCTGACACCCCTGAAAAAGTTGCGAAGATTCCCCAACAGAGGCGGGTGAACTCTTCGGCCAAGCAATTGCAAAAGACCCCTCTGAGAGACAGCAGGTGTTGAAGTTCCAACATGGCAACATGGACCTTCCTTCAATCCCAACGTGCGGAAGGTCCCATTTTTGCGCTGGGCCTTTGGAAGGTCCATGCTCATGACGACTCAGGTCCATTTCGGGGCACCGATGGTGTAGAATCCGGGTCCTTCAGGTTCACCGTCATCGGTCACCACTGCCGGTGTCTCAACAGACGGCCCGCAACAGACGGTGTGTTCACTGCGGTTTTCGGGATGAGTCAGTGAACATGCTACTGCAGTGAAGAAATACTCTAGAACAAACTCATGCAAAGTAAAGGTTCTTTGTTGGATTTTTTTGCCCAGCAGAGTACTTCTTTTGCTCTGAGTACTTCTATTCAAAGAGTTCCTATCTCTCACCCAATCCGCTTTTACAAAAAGCGCCGACGCGTGTGGACCAACCGTAGCAAGCCATGGCGGCGGTGGATATTTTGTCGGATGAGGTGCCGTTCGTGTGGGTGGGGCAGATGAGAATTGATAGAGAATTCTGCCAGTTTGTAGGAAGAATGGTGTGATTGGAAAAGGATACTTAACTCAAAATGAATCCATTAAGTCATTAAGCAAGAATTTTAAGAGATACTTGACACCAAACAACACATGATTCAACCCTAAGTTCATGTCCAGTTGCTTCAAGGCCACATTCTTCTAGAGAAGCAACCGTGCTTTCATCTTGTCTCTGGACAGCAGGAGGATGAGTTGCTTTGCCCTGCACCATGCCAGGCTCGGATACATGAGACAAAAAGCACAATGATCACCGATTGAGACGAAAGCATAACTTGTGCAATACTGAGATGTTGTAATTAAATGTAATTATGTGAGTTCAGGTGGTGTTCCTGGATGGCCGCAGTGATGATTTGTTCTGCAGTGGGTCAAGTAACAGACCATGCCTGCAGGAAGATGCAGGAGGTCTTTGCAGCTTCTTCAAGCAAATATGTTTGGTGTGAAAGTGTGAACACACTTTACCAACCTTGCAGTACAATACATGCTGACACGTGATTACTCGCAACCGAGTGCCTTCCCTGGAACTCTGTCCTCAAAACAAAACTCCTTGGTCTCTGGGCAAACCAGGACAGACTAACATCAACACCCAAGTCCATCAGGCACACCTTTGCCTGCCTTGCAGGGCACTATAATCCGTCAGAGTTTTATTTTTTTGTTCGCTTTCATCATGGGGTCAGACCGGCGGCCCTTTGTTCGATGTCAGGAAGCGGCGGAAGCAGCTGAGGCCCTTGGCGGGAATGAAGCCCTCGTCTTTACAATTGTGTTTTTTTCACGGTGAAGTCACACAGTTTGACGTAGTTGGATATGGCAGTTCCCTGAAACAAGCACTTGGTGTGGACTGAACAGCATCCGGCCATCTACAGTATATAACTCAATCCACGCGCTTTGCACTTCGCCCAAGGCTGCTCCTGCTCCGGCGCCTGCGCCTGCTGAGCCCCCAGCATTGCGCAGCGTTGTAGTGGCCAATGTGGACCTGGACTCGGATGATGAGGCGCCGGCTTTGATGGCTCAATTGACATGCAAGAGAGGGCCGGCCGGTTGGGGAGACCTGATTCATACAGAAGGATGAGCTCCTGTTCGGGGAGCTCTGTTTTGAAGGTCACAGCCAAGATCTTTTGCATCACAGTCACAACGAATAAATTATCCAGAAGTCCAGTGAATCACTTTTGGCACTTACAGCCCAATTACTGGAGATGTGAAACGGACGCGAACTCTTTCGAAAGGGCGCCTTGGATGTGTTCAACTCAGAACCACAAATTCACACTTCTCACTTCTCACAGAGAGCGTTGGCTGTCCTGACTGCGTGCATTTCTTGCACCGTGCCGCCGGAGGAAGAGATGCTTTGTGCAAAGGTGCAGCCGGGGTTCATCACCAGGGTTGGCCAACGAATTATTTTTCCGTCTTTTGATTTTTGTTGAGGTGGCCAGGGCCAGATTGGTGTGTATTTGCAGAAGCTGAAGCTGGTTCAGCCTCTAGTTATGGCACAGAGTCTGTTTCACCTCGAACTCGCAAGCGATGTTTGCAATGTATTCCCAGCGAGTTTCACTGGCCATTGCATGACAATTACATAGATGCATCCAAAAATTACTAAACAAGGACAGTGCACGGTCCCCCACAAATTTTATAGTATAGTATAATATATAATCCGGACGCCTAAGATAGAAGATATTAGTTGTGAAAATCTTCTATTTGAAAGCGTGCCCGGTTTTGAACACCCGACCGGTTCAAATAGAAGATGGCCCACAAGCCCGGGCAAAACAAATAGAAGATATTATTTGGGACAGCCGCGGCTCTCCTCTCTCCTCTCTCCTCCCTCCTCCCTCCTCCCTCCTCCCTCCTCCCTCCCCCCTCCTCCCTCCTCCCTCCTCCCTCCTCTCTCCTCTCTCCTCTCCTTTACTGAGTAGTTTTCACAGAAGATTGGACTGGCCAGGGCTGCCGTTGTCAATTTCTTCTAATTGAGACCTCTCTGCTGAGCAGTATCTTCTATTTGAAGTGCCCGAAATCGCAAAAATCGGTCTGCGGAGATTCTCTGGACGTTGTCAGTTTCTTCTATTTGAAACCATGGCCCAACTTCCCCAAAATGACTGCCTTCTATTTGAAAATATTGTTTCTTATCTTCTATCTTTCCCGTTCGGATTATATATATATATAATTCTCTCTCTCTCTATATATATATATACACACTGAAAAGTGGACGTTTCTCATTGGACTACCTTTGATGTGTTCGGTGTAGATACAGAAAGGGGAAGGCTTAGGGTTTGAAGCGTGAAAGCAGTAATTAAGTTTCGGGGTCCTGGGTACCCATCTAAGCAATTCGTTGCCTTCAGGCGCCAGCGGCACCAACACCCGCCGCACCAGCGTCAGCAATTGCAGCACCAACATCCACTCTGCCAGCATCGGTTGGAGGTGAGGGATGGCTGGTTTTGGGATTTTGAATTCAATTTTCTGTGGACGTTTGGTGGGGAGCACCAATTGTTTGGACAGTCAAAGTGTAATTACTAGGCCAGGCCATGTTGGGATGAGAATTTACAAGCTATTTGGTTCCCAGCCTTGTTAGCTTGACATGAGTGATATGACCCCTGAGCAACTTCTTCTTGCATTCCTGCACCTTCTCAAACTGCCGAGAAAAGGGAAAAGGAAGCACGCACCACGCCTTTTGGATGGTTAGAAGGGTTTGGACGCCTCACTAGATTTACAACGTAACAAGGGATGAACGTTTTGCGGAGCATCCTCCAACTGGAGCATATAGATGAACAGCGTTCAATTAATCTACCCTGCAGGAGAACCGAAGATGCGCTTCAGTGGGGTTGCTGACTGTAATACCGCATGAAGGTCGTGAAGCAACATCCAGTCCCTGAATGCGCTTCCCTTGAGTTCAACGTTGAGGATCATTGTCCATTGGTTATGGCAAGCTATATCTATGATTCGCATGATTGCAAAATGTCTGAATCTGTGGGGGTTAATCCGGGGCGGCCAATAAAAAGGGAAACTCACCAAACATGTCTGATTAAGGATTTCATGCCCAGCAGCCAAGCTGTGAATTCTTGTCCCTCAACATGACTCACATGAGAAAGTTTGCCAGTTTAGGGGGCATCCCTCGGTCCCTGAAACTGGGGCAAGAGGCGACTACAAACGTTTTGTGGTGTTCTCCAAACCGCAGGAGATGATGACGATGAGGCGGGGAGATGAGACGTATCAGGCAATGGGAGAATCCACCAGGAAGAGATCGCCAGGGCGAGCCCCAGGTTGAGAGATTCACACAGGGAAGTGGAATGGGGGCGGTTGACACCAAATCCATTGGTGACAAGTGAAGTGAATTGGTGGTCCTCAGGCTTGATCTCTTTTTGAAGTTGTCTTTCCCAACAAAGCGGTGACACACCGTCCGGCCGTCAAGAATCTCCGTGGCCGCGTCGCGGGGGAGTTTTTGTCGCAGGAGGAGATGCTTTGTGCCAAGGAGGGAAGACTGGTGGTGAGCTGGGTGGAGAGTGGAGAGGAGGATCAATGCGGGGATGCAGGTCAATCTTGGTCAGCGAGTTTCAAGAAGACTGATGTCTCACTGTGTTCCATAGTCTTTCGATGCTGAAGCTTTCGTCCTCACCAGGAGCCGGTGCGCCCGGCACCCACCCCGCAGCGTTCATCGACGCCTGCGCCGGCCATCTCTGCAGGTGTAGCAGACATGACGGCTGGTCCGTTTGCAGCAAAGGAGTCAAAAGAAGAGATTAATTACACACCATAGATGTTCATATCATTTCATAATCCATGTTCTCAGTTTTAGTCACAGATCTTTGACCCACATTTTGGATGGTATTTGACAACAAATTGACGGCAAACGCACCCGGCTCAGGTGACGTCCAGGCGTTGGCCAGTTCGCGAAAAAACGTGTTTCCGGGCATAAGTCAAGGGGTGACCCATTGACTTGGGGAGTGGGATATGAGGTCAAGACGTCACTGAGGTCACTGAGATCACCGAGGTTTGATGTTTGTGAATGTGGGTTGTGCTGATGAAAGTCAATCACCAAGGAAATGGCTTTTCATCCACTGATGGCAGTGTTGTTAGATGCTGCTAGCAGCTTTCGACTAAGTCCTGTGTGTCCGTATTTTTTTGGTGGACTTTTTACCCAACAAACATGATTGAAAAACATGGTCGTCATATGGAATCCTGGTGTGCTGTCTATTGAAGGAGACACCGATGCTGTTGAAAGTTGGAAGTCTGGTAAAACCATGTAAAACCCATTTCCAGTCGTCCACCGGCATGTGACCCGTCGGATGGACTGCCCGCTTTTGGGGATGCCCAAAAGGTTAAAGCCTATGTCGTCGTTACGTACATTTCACTTGTGATTGTGATCTTGAAGTGTCAGCGACGCCCCACAGCTGTCTCAGCAACCTTCCTTCAGATCACCCACATGCACCCAGGCATTTCCAGCTTTGTTCAACCTCTCTGAAAATTGAGGTGCCGGTTCCAGGGTTGATTTCTTTCGAGCTGCTCAACATAATTGACGAAACAAAAGCGACCGGGTCGGTACAAAGAAAACCAAAGTAGCATTTGTGACCTGATCTTCAAACCTCTACGACTCTAATTAGCAGGTATGATCCACGTGACTCAAACAAGTGCAGGCACTTTGAAACTCCCCCGAACCTGGCTGGCCCTGGCTGGTCCTACTTTCCGGTCCAAGGGTGCCCCTGGTGGGTGGTGATGGGTCTGACAGGAGAAGGATGCCAAGCCTGCCAAGCCCAAAGTGAAGGCAAAGCCGAAGGTGGGGAATCCAATTTCTCAGAGTTGTTGCTGGATGGTATCTCTCCTAGATTTTCGAAGCAATTCACCACAGGCTTTGTGTCATGGTGGATTCTTTGGGTCCATCATGGTCCATCCACAAGGATGGAATTTGTAGGCCCAGCATGGCCCAGCCATGTACCGTTTGGCTGTTTGCAGGCACTTTGAGGGAATAACAATACAACAGGATACAACAGGGACTTTGGGTGTGAAACACACTTTGGCTCGGTCTGGGCGATCGTATGATGGATATTTGGAATATGAAGCCACTTGCAGTGCAAAGAACAATACAAACTCTACTTTGTAATGGATGTTTGATGCTATTAGGTTGGAGGCCAGGGCTATTAGAAACAAAGGAAAAAGAAAAGGAGAACGGTCTAATATAGTTTGCTCTTAGGTTGGAGGCCATCGCTTCTAGGTTGGAGGCTATACTTTGTAAGGGATGTTTGACGCTTCAACAATGATCAAGTTCTCTGGCGAATAACCCCAAACCCTACACCAGATCCTTAGTTGCTGCGTCGGAGGGTTGGGATGGACCGGGATGGTACTAGTACATTTTGTTACTATCCACAAAGACACATACGATGATCTTGTTACAAGGCCATTGAATCAGGATCGTACTTCACACCTACCGGGCCTGGCTCAAAGACGACCGTTGGCTTTTCGATTCAAATGGTCGGGGCCTAATTGTGGTCCTTTACCCTAAGGTGGGTGGGTTAGTGGGTCCCTGTTTCACACCAACAGGTCTCCCCTGTGGTCATTTGGGGTGTAGAAATCATATGAAATCATAATTCGGAGTCACTGGTCGTTCGCAATGCACGGCAAGGCCAAGGCTGATCCCAAGTCTGAGTCGGGAAAGGCGGACAGATGGCCCAGTGGCGGGCAGAGACGGAGGGTCGTTTCCTTCCCGTGAGGCGTTTGAGTTGTGTGCGATGTGTGATGCGTTGAAAGACATGAAGCTTTAAGAAGGCTAGTCGGAGAGGTCCCGCAAGTTCGTGCATCTGATGTGACTACACCACTTGAAAAACGCGAGGGGGTCGAGAGCTTATTGGTTCAAGATGTTCAAGGTGCCTCCGCAAGATTTTCAATTAGTTTGGACGCCGTATGCTACGCTGCTACAGTTGAAAGAACTCCTGCACCAAGTTCACGGCCCAAACACCGGACAAATACCATGGTTTTCTCGTTTACGTCAGGTGGTTTATGTTGGAATTGCCTTTGGTGGAATTATCGCCTGAGACCATCATCTCTTCTGGTCAAGGCCAAGACTGAGCCGACCAAGACTCAGACCGATTCGGAGCCAGCGATTCCACCGGTGAAGGCCGTTTGGGAGGGATTGGCGCGTTTAATGATCGAGCGTGCATGAAAGCACATACATCGGTGAGGCGTTTTGTGCTTGGACTTCAGGGAGGTGAAAGATGTGTCCTAGGACATTCGCAACATAGATATATAGATTCCACATAGATTTGCAATCTTGGTAATTACTTTGTTGTTTGTTTGGGTTAATGAAGCAGACTTCTTCCGTACCCCTCCAATCTGTGTGTACAGTGTGTAGCCTTTCCCCAACGAAAAAGCAAGAAAACATCAGGACATTCTCTGTGGAACACATTGGACGACCTTGCAAACCGACCCACCTTTCAATCAATGTAGGAATCAACGCTCCCTGACGTGATGCCTTGCAGGCCAGCGAAGCAACCAACGCCCCGGAGGAGCTGAAGACGCTCGTCCCAACGACGTGAGCTCAGAGACGAGAGATTCAACGTCACAAGGGTGACCAAAAATCCTTCCCATGACGCGAGTTGGTGTTAAATCGCCCATTCGAGTGGGTTTGTGATTGGGTTTCTAGGGACACTACTTGTGGGAGGGTCAAAATGCTTTTTGTGCGACTGAAGGCTTGTATGCTGGATACACAAAGTCATTCCCCGATGATTTTCTGGACCCCAGCAAGGATCGTGGATTTGATTCGTTCATTTTTGTTCATTTGCCCTTGTCGATGTGACTGATTGAGGGTGTCGCCCAGGAAAGAACCCAAGGCTGGAAGCAGTCAGCCAGGGCCTTGAGGGGTCCTGGGGCTGTTGAGGAGTTTTGGTTCGCTTCTGGAAACTTGGGCAACTTTCGCGGATGGTGTGGAACTAGGGAGGGTTCCTATGCACTTGGGTCATTTAGCCTCCCTGGAATTACAGGCAGGATCGATGTATTTGACCCTCCTAAGAATGGTTTGGAGTGGGAACTCTGTCGCCACAGCAGACAAGCTGGGTTCCTCCTTAACCACGAAAGCTAGCTGTAACTAGCTGGAGTCTACACCAACCACGGTCTACACCAACCACGGTTTACACCAACCACGGTTTACACCAAATCACGGTTTACACCTAACACGGTTTACACCAACCACGGTTTACACCAACCACCGTCTACACCAACCACGGTCTACACCAACCACGGTTTACAAATTTTTACACCAACCACGGTTTACACCAAATCACGGTTTACACCAAACAATGGTTTACACCAGCAGCTGGTCAATCGTGCATCTGCTGCTGCTGCTGCTGCCTGCTGCCTGCTGCCGCTGCTACTGCTGCTGCTGCTGTTGCTGGGGGTGGTTGTGTGTTGCCTGTGTTGGGGTTGTATTGGGGGGGGGCACTGCTGGCACTCTCCTCCTCTGCCCTCGACCATGATATGTTGTGACGCTTTGCTGCCAAAAAGGCCCCAGCGCTGCTTCTTCCCGTAGCTTTCGCCACCCCCCCTGGGCCAGAAGTTACAAGTGTTTTTTTCCAGGGAGCAGTTGAGAGACCTTGACTGACTTACCTATCAGCGGAGGTGGTGCCGACAGTGCCTATTCTGGAGGCCTATTTAAATCCAACTTCAAATGCTTGTCACTTAGAATCTAGAATCACTGTTGCTGTCCTAGCTTCGGAGACAATGCAACCCACAGGCTTGGAAGAACCGCTCGTTTGAGGTTGTGTGGAAAAGCATTGAAGCAGTGAGCAAGTGCTACACTATGGGACAATCCCCCAAAAGAGCATTGTCATGACCCATGTGTAATGTTCACTTCGGTGCGTACTGGAAGCTGGAAACCAGGCCGAAGGCTGCAGCGAAGAAGGCTCCCGAGAAGGGTAAGGAGAAGAAGCTCACGAAGGAGAATTGGTACCCTCGGGCTCCAACCATATCCTCGGTGTTTCGACCCGCCAAACCCACCCCACCCATCTTCTCAGGTATTTGGAGCTAGGGGTAGTACTGGGCAGAGTTGACATGGTTTTTCAGTGTTTTTCTTGCCATGCCCCAGAATCAGAAGCTGTCAGGGGAACAGCAACGAGTCATGGATGCACCAAGCTACTGATAGACAATGCACACCCGAAAGATCCCGAAAGGAATGTTTTACATTGTTTTATTACTGCATCTCTCTTTTTTGCTCTGCAAACACCAACAGACGAGTAGAAGAATCTTCTTTTCTTGCCCCCAATGGGCTGGTCATCAAGGAAAACCAACGAGAGACCCTGGCGTTTTCCATTCAACGGCAAGTCGACCATTGCCGACTCGCGGCCTCGCATCTGGCTCCACCGCTCAGGCTGCGGGTGTCACCGCTCGGCTGCGCGTCGCGATGGCAGCGTCAGTCCTTGGCCATGGCAGCTGGGCCCGGTGGACGTGGCGAAGGAGTGCAGTGCGTCATGTGGAGCCATGCGAGGCAAAGAGCCGGTGAAACTGGAGTCTGTGGTAGAGTACACCAAGGAGACTTGGATTGGAGATGGGATTGTTTTGTTGATGTTGATTGATATGTATTCCTAATCATTCTGAATCTTTTTCGTTCTAACTGGATCTACAGCTATTGTTTCGTTTGCAAGTGCCTCCAGATGTCGTGTTCCTCCAGCTGACGCGCTGGCGCAACCCACCGAGCTTGCGCAGTTGTTTTGCAGGTGCAGGTCCCATATGTGGAACTGGTTATGGTCGGAACATGGACTCTGTTGGGGATGTCAGTCTGTATCTGAACAGATCTAAAAGATTCGACAGGATCTTTTGGCACTCCGAGGCCATCAGGAAAGGACAGTGGCCTGAGGCGTGGTCGCTCCTAAGCCATCTCAAATCTAAGCAGCTGCAGCCAGATGCTTTTGCGTACACTGCGGTGACCAGGCTAAGAACTGCTCATGACAACTCCCAGTACTCTGTTTTTCCTTCAAGTCGGTCTCGCTCATGTATGTAGGAGAGACGGTTGTTTTCTTCTCTTTAATATCCCCGGCTTTTTGGGACGCCTTCCACCACAGAGTGGCTAGGCTGGGCCTGTGCATTCCAAACACTCATGAAGTTGATTTTAAGGAGGCTTGATTTGTTGTATCTAAACAAGCAAAAAAAAACAACAACCAGTCGATCCCCAAGGTCTTGTTGGTTCACTGAACAATCACACCTGAGGTGATCAGTGCTTGCAAACCTCGATGGCCGCAAGCGGTGCTGGCTTTCGCCCAGCTGGAAGAGACGTGCCTGCCTGTGGGTGTCGTGTCCTTTGGAGCCGCCACCAGTGCTTGCGAGCGGGCAGCCGAGTGGCAGCCAGCTCTGGGGCTCCTGGCGGAGCTTCAGAGGAGAAACATTGAAGCATGGCTGAGCTTCAGATGCCAACCGCAGCGGCCTGTAACATCAGGTGACATCGCATTTTTCAGGATCCATCATGGGCAGTTTCTATTGGGAACTTATTGGCAACTACATTGGTAATGAGGGTATCGGCGGTATCGGTATGAGATTGAGCAATTCTGATCTCTTAGACCCAAAGATACTTGGGACTTGAAACAAACGGTGGTTGCAAGGGAATTCATAGGAGTCACCTGCTTGGGTTCTTCATGAATCCGTCGAAGAGACTTGCGAAATCAACTGAGATGATCATCTGATACCTGCATTATATTGTGGGATTGAATTAGAGACGTCGTGTTGGACAGCCTGAGCCTTCTCCTTTGGGGGCACAAAGGGAGCATCAACACTGGTCAGACAGAATTTTTCAACTAGCTAACTAGCTCATCTACTAGCAATAGAAGGAATCTGGAGGGTATGTCGGTGACTGGTACCATTGGCCTTACAGGGACAGACTGTGCTGTTTGTTTACTTGTTTCAAATGTTGATCCAACATTACTACTGTACCAGTAACAGTTACTGTGAGTTATGTTAATCAGTAGTCTATTAGATAAAAATCTGTTTTTGTTTCCGGTCCTCTGTTTTCTCGTGCGCTCACGCCTGTAGTGCACACACTGATGTCACGTGTGTTTTTCACTGGTGCCTGCAGGGCCTCGTCGGGGTCGGGTTAGGGGCACCAGCCAACACAATAACGGCCGTTTGTTTCGAGGTTATATATACGAGCATGACCATGAGACACACATGTTGGTTGCATGTGCATTCTGCCCGTGTGTAACGTAAGTACACTTGCTTTGGCATGCTTGCATTCGCTTCTTTTCATGCATGTATGCACTCGCAGTTCTTCATCCAAGTTCTCAGGGTCTTAATCTCAAGCGTTTGGTGCTTTTCCATCACATGCTGTGCTAAGACACCTGCAGCATGGATAATTACTCTGAAATAAATGAGCACAGCTTATGAATGATGTCAATGATGTTCCTCTTTCTCTATCTTGGACGGCTTGCGACATAGGGATTGACTCCTAGAGACAGATGCAAGTGGAGGGACATCCAGACCAGGCGAACCCAAGGACTCTTAACCCTCTCCACCAGGTGAGTCACACTGGAGACCGTAGGCAGCGTGGCTGCAGTGTGCAAAGAACCTGCCAAACAGGTTGCCTGCAGTGTGCAGCGTGGACTGCCTCGATGCCGAAAAGTGTCGGTGTTGTGGTTGTTCACAGAAAAAAAACAAGAGCGGCTGCTTCTTGCTGGCAGGGCCGCGGAAAGATGGTATTCATGTCTCATGTGCCATAGTGCTTAACATCTTGAGAGGCGCGTAGTTGCAGGAGCCCGCGTTTTTGGTGGCCACAGCTTCTCCAGGAATCAGATGGCTATTTACTTACTTACTCTTATCATCTTGATGATGTTTGTAATTACATTGTTTATATACAGTCTTCTTGGCCGTTGCGGCTGTTAAAACATGCTCATTTGTTTGTACGATGGACCCCTTACTTCTCAACCTTTCACTCTCAGGAAGCGAACCTGCTCCTGTACAGTGCCAGTATCAGTGCCTGTGGCAAGGCCTCCGAGGGCACCAAGGCACTCCAGCTGATGTCCCACCTGACGTCCCACCGAGAGAACAACGCGATCACCCTGAACGCGGGCATTAGCGCCTGTGAGAAGGCAACACTCTGGCAGGATGCGCTGAGATTGTTAGAGATGGGAAAGAGACATGGCTTTGATTGTTTTTTCACATCAGAATCTAAGAACAAGTTGAACAAGGTAGCTGGACCGGGCAGAAGTCGTGGCACCTTTTTCTCTCCGAATCAACTGTGGGGGTTCTTAATGCTCCTTTGGCAGCTGTTGTGGATAGTGATTGTGAAACCATGGCCACGTGATGCTGGTCCCACCTGGATGGCTTGTTCAGATTCGAGGGTCCTAAGACTTTAGATCCAAGACGCAACCTTTTCGTGTGGGCGCTTCTTTGAGGATTTGGGTTCATTTTCCTGACAGACACCGTTTTTGTGCTACACACTTTAGAAAAAACAATGGAATCTCAGGTTGCTTCGTTGCGGGCTTGATCGCCCGATGCCTTGATTTTTTTTTTTTCAAGACATGTCCAATGGCTAGTGACTCGCAACCATGTCTCGGTCTTTGGCACATTCAAAGTAGATGGCACCAGCCAGCACGCACCCATCATTATGGCGATGCCACTGAATGAATCAACAACCACTTGTGGCGATGAAATGCGATGAATCACAGTATCCCTGCCATGCCTCCGTCCTCTCCGAGGAGAGGTCACCTAGTCGACTTGATCTCCTATAGCGCCGCCATCAGCGCCTGTGCCCGGGCCGAACACTGGCGACGCGCGGTCAGCCTGCTGGATGAGCTAATGGGCCGATGCCTCAAAGCCGACTCTATCGCGTACGGTGCTGCGATGAGTCTAGGTCTGTTGAAACATGTTAAAACGGCGTTTCCATCGGTTTCCTGTATAATACGATAATAGAGCCCTGAAACGATTACAACAACATTTTATACTTTTCAATAGTCCAATTCTGTGAAGGTTCTTAAGCAGGAGTATCACAGCCTAACGGTGTTGCAGCCGGCTCAGATTTAGAAACGAGCGCTCAAAAACAAAGACCCTGAAAGAGAACCGCACATGAAATTGTGATCGCCCGAGGAGCTTGATTTTTGGCTGGATAAACAGACCTGTGGATACGCAACCAGGAAAATGTTCAAGCACCCATGACTGACTTAGTTACATTGAACACATGTTGGATACGGACAAGAAGCTTGACACGTGGGAGTCTTCCCGCCAACAGACGATCACTAGGAATGCACTGGAAAAAGCTGCTGAATGGGAACACGCTCTACTACTTTTGGTGGAACTTCAAGACATTGGCGTCGAGGTCACGCTGGTGACCTGCAACACAGCCATCAGTGCTTGTGAGAAACTTGGTATTCTCCAGACCTTGCTGGATGATCAAACATACCCTTCGTTACCCTTCTATGATCTTCTATGTTTAAAGTTTCGACATGTACAAGACACATTTATTGTTTGTGGGGATTTGTCGCTGCGGGAGTAGGAACCGGCAGAGGTCTCCTGATAAATGGATCGAAATGTAAAGTGAACCCTATCTAAGTACAAATTTGAGAGGTGTGTTATGGTGTTTTTTGTTCATTTCAGTGCTTGGTTCTGTTCGTCTTCCAGTGGGGCAGCTGCAGGAAAGCCTCCCAGTGGCAATGGGCCTTGCAGCTGCTGCAGAGCAAAGCCGAAGCCGTCGACCGGATTTCCTACAACGCTGCGATCAGCGCGTGTGAAAAAGCCGGCGAATGGCAATGGGCCTTGCTCCTTGACCGCCAAGTTGACAGTCAAGTCGTGGATTGTGCGGGCGGATTTCTTCGTTTTGGGTGTGAAGCTTTGTGAAGTGTTCGTTTCCGACTTTCCACCCACCAGCCGCCACCAAGACTGCCCAGTGATACGGTTTTGACAAGTCCTTATTTAGCTTTGATATGCTTTGATATGATTTGATGATAAGACTTGAATAAGTCTCAGGGCAGGTGGAAGTTTCATTCACAACACTTGGTAGTTAATAACTTGTGAACCTTGCAACCTGCCTCCACCCACAGTGGAACACTAGGTGGTCGCATCATCCTATGAGCCCCATTCAGATCCGAGGTTTCTTTTTGGATCTTCGGGGCTGACAGATCTCGTCGCGCAGAACGCCCTCATCAGCGCTTGTGAGAAGGGCGACCAATGGCAACAGGCCTTGGAGATCTTCAGTACGGTGGCTTGGACGAGATCGACCAGTCAAGCCGCTACGAAACAGACGAAACAGATCGACTCAAAGCCTAAAGTGATTCGTCCCTTTGAGTTTTCCATGTTTGGAATACATCAGTACATGCAGGGTCACCCACCTTTTCAACCCCTTCCAATTTGCACTTGATTCTGTGGCCCAAATTCTATGCTTTTTGGGTACCAGTTCATGACCATCTCAATCCACCAAACCGCCCAACACAGGATTCGGAGAGTAAGCAAAGGGAGATGGCCTTGGACCTTCTGGTGCACAAAATGGTAAGAGGGCCGTGGACTAGAGAACCCATCCATGGTGCGGATATTGTATGACATTGTATGTGTGTACATCTCTACATATATGTTTAATTCATCCCTGCTTAGCTTGTGGTGGTGAGGTTTTTTTCTTCTTTTTCCTTGCCAGATTTTAATCGTCATGCCTTGGTGATACCTCTTAAGGTCCATCACCCTGACACCATCACCTTCAGCGCCACCATCAGCGCCTGCGAAAAAGCGCGCCGTTGGCAACACGCGCTCGCGGTGCTGGACCGCGCGCGGGAGGCGCGCGCAGCAAATGTGGTGAGCTACAATGCTGCAGTGAGCGCATGTGAGACTTGAAGAAATTTCATTGTAAGGTGGCCTGGGTGTCTTCCACAGAAATCAAGGATTCTTTGAAACAAACTTGGAAGGTAGGGCTTGTGCTTTTTCAATAGGCCTGCGCACATCACTCTGTTTCTAAATCCAAACATAGCAGGTGGTTTGGTGTAGGACCTGTTGTTCATTCCCAGTCGTCCAATAGCGTCCTGCCTGTGTCGATGGGGCTGTTGCTTGCGGGTCTTCCTTGAAGCACTTGTTGGGCCAGTCGACCTGGCCAAGCTTCAGAATCATTTTGCTTTGAGGATTGTTTTCCTACTAAAATACGATTAGGGAAATCAGCCCTGTGATTCTCCGGGCCATTGTTAACACAAGACTAAACTAAGGAGAGAGCCTCCAGTTGGCAGACTGCTTTGGATCTTCTCTTTGACCTCAAGATGGATGGACTGCAAGGAGACTTCATCACCTTCTTTGCTGCCATCAGTGCTTGTGCGCAGGGATCCCGTTGGCAGCACGCCGTGCTGTTGCTTCAGAGTCTCGCCCTGTCGAGACCGCATGGGACACCAGCCCACGCGGTCCCAGCCCACGCCGGTCCGGAGACAGATTTGGGGTTTCAGGGTGGATTCCCTACATCCAACCTGCTCATCCAACCTGCTTACCCTGCAAGTGAAACACCAAACTTGGTACTCCTCGAAACAAACCCACTCTTTCTTGGTGCTACGATGATCTTTGACAAGAATTCCTCCAGACGGGTGTGCCAGATGCGTGCAGCACAGCCCAGGATCGCTTCGAAGCAGAACCTCCATCTCCCAGTCATCGCCTGTGCTGCTGCGGCAGGTGCTTGCGAGACGTGCGAAGAATGGCCAAAGGCACGACCCTTGCTGGACAGAGTCCACTTTGAGGGCATGGATCTCTTGCTCAGCCTGCGCGCGGTGGAAAGTGGAGCCCGATACGGTTGGACGGTGATGTGTTCGGTGCCATCCAAAAGCTGTTCGGTGCCAGATTTTTAAAGATACACGGCCCCACCCCTGTGCTCCAGAAGCCACTCCAACATGAGATGTCCATTAACCGATCCCACCAGGGTTTGATAGCAGGGGTCCGTTGGTGCTCTTTTGAGCAAACGAGGGAGTTCTTGCAGGATGAGATGGAGGTCAAGGTCTTGGAGTACATGAGGCACCGGAGGGGAGGGTGCTGTGGTTTAGCTTTTAGGTTATATACACATGTACACATCATTGTCCACTTTCCTTGCATTTGCTCTTCATGGCAGTGTGCTTGACCTGTTTGAACTTTGAGTAGGAAAGCTGCTGTAGGAGTTTCCTGCAGTTCCCTCTAAATCCTCTAGCTCGTCTTCACCTTCCTTGTCATTTGTCTCATTGCTTAAGTCAGTTCCTCAGACCTGAGATGGGCGGAGCACCTGAGTCTTGTGTGTCAAACAAGAAGGGTCCAGGCTATTGTAACACCAGAACTTATGCACTTTAGGTCACCAACGCGCACAGTTCATACCTGGATTTGAGCGTCCCCCGCGCCGTGCCTGCGCCCCCGGTGAGGCAGCAGAATCGGCCCTACAACGCCCAGAACGTCTTCGACAACCTCCACGGTGCTGTGCCGAAAGGCTCGGTGCAGGCGATTTGGGTTCCGAACGATCGGGAGGGCTCGCTCGGGAGTTTCACCCGATCAGAATCAGTGTGCTGGTTGAGCATCAGATTCTTCCACCCCCTTGATCTCTGCGATTCAGGAGATCTGTGGGTTTCCAGTGGAAGATGGCAGAGCGCGATGGTTTCTGCAGGTCTCGTCTCCCCGCTGGGTGGGCGCCCACAGCTGTTCACAGCGGACAGGTAACAAGAGCTGAGTGCTGGTGACGACACCGGCGAAAAAGGGATCTAAGAACAGAAAGAGAGAGAGAGAGAGAGCAGCGCCAAAAATCCTTCCATGTATGCCCCAGCACTAGTTGACACGTATGCAAGGAGTGCTCAATTCCCACGGTGGCTCAAGGGATGTTCATGCGGATGGAGGTTGTTCGAGGGGTCCTTGATGGTGGACGTGTCTTTCGGAGGATTGATGACAATGTGTGCAAACCACAAAACATCCGAAACATCACACAATCCATCATAATTTATAATCCCATGCTTTCGACATGTGAACTTGCCTGTTTTTTGCACCTGCAAAGCGGCTTGGCCAGACGATTATGGAGAGCTTGGTCACGGAAGGAAAGCTCTTGATAAAGGAGTATGGCAAGATCAAGGCTGGACCGTCGCACCAGAATTTGTGAGCCAAATGGTAAGTGGATTTGTTTGAATCCTTAATCACTGGGTCTAACAGGAGTGCTTCTAGTCACTCTAGTCTACATTTTGCAGACATCCATCCACATTCGCCTAACAATTACATCCTTGTTCTGGTCTTTGCAAATGGGGGCGTTTCGCTTGAACAGCGTCGACTGCAACAGGTCTTCTTGGTGTCCCAGAGCTTGGTGGTCGGTGGCGACGATGCCACCGCGTTGCAGCAAGAGGTGGACGAGGCCGGCGTGTTCGTCAGCGTCGTGGCCCCCTGGGGCCGAACTCGGGTGGTTTGGAGGCGCACCAAACAAAGAGCTTCCGAAGCACGTCCTGGCATCCCCCCTATTCGGAAATGCGGCGTGGTTTTGGTGTGCATGGCGTGGGAGGACACGAGAAAAAAGTAGCGAGTGTTATCTCAGGTCTTCTTTTTTGCCGACCAGTACACTCCGACTCAGTACCGTGGAAGTGGACAATGCCCCCTTGGAAGATTCTTGCTTTGCAAGAAGAAGTGTATGACTATGTACGGTCAACGCACTTGGGCTCACAGAGCAGCGCTGTTGATTCCACGCCCTCCACCACTGAGAGGTCTTCGTGTCTCTATGACTCTATGCTCTGTCGATCGTGGGAGGCTCACTCACAGGAACAAAATGCCAGAACAAATGTCTCCTTTGATTGATCAGAACATTCTGGATGCACCTTTTCTTAGTTCATAGACGATGCTTCCTCACGAGCTAAACCCAGCTATATATACTATGAGGTATGCTGCTCATTTGGAGTCACATTACGCTCAACCTTGACATGCTCTCGGAGACATAAACACAGTTGGAAATTGATCTTAGGAAACACACCTCCACCCACAGTGGCCAAGTCTTACACCAGCAACTCTGTTCCGATTTTTGTTCAGCCCCTTGTCACGCATCTGCCTGAAGTTCCTCTTCCGGGATGTGTTACACCATGTTAAGCCTGACGCAGCTGGTAAGGATAAAAACACAACCGACTGCATGCCTCTGAGGGGGAACAGGAGCTTCCATACCCACCTTGTGGCTACGCAGAAAACTAGACGACCAAACCCATGGGACACGGGGCAGTCTCACTATTTCCAAACACACTCATGAAGAGCTTCTACAGTCGAAATGGAATGTGAATCTATGTGAATCTACAGTCTCCACATGACTAATATGATACCGATTAATAGGTACTAATTAACAGAGATACTAACTAATAGATGAATCTCATTAATATAGAGATACTAATTATCCATTAATCTGTTAATATGATACTAATTAATAGAGCACGTCTTTGACGTCGCCTCCGTCCTGGGACGTCGCCTCCGCGCGGAGGCCTCGAAGAAACGGAAAGCGCTCGGCAACGACCTGGTGCCGGGCTCGGTGACCTGCGCGGGATGCCAAAGCGTCTTCGGGTTCTTGGGACGATTCGGGTTTCCTAGAAGACCGAACCAGGGGCAACGTATTGATGCTCATTGAAACAAGGTCATGGGTTTCTGCATGTTTCTGCGCCTTGAAACAAGGTGATGCTCATTTTTGACTCTCCAACGTTTGGCCTTTATCCGGGTGAATTTTTGCCTCAGCTTGATCCACGATGGTTTGTGCGCTGTCATGGCTGGGGGATCGATGGGTCCGGTTGTACGGATTCGCCAAGACCGAATGACTCGAACTTCCACCTCATGGCCTCATGGGCCTCGTTGATCCGCGTCCTGGGACCACCACGCCTTCGTTGAGTTTTGACATACTGAGACGGCCAAAAAGCTTCTTGGTGATGAAGAGGCTACCTACTTGCAGGGTCAATTCCCTCCTCGCCGGGTCAATAGAAGGCTCCACGCTTTTCCGCTCTCTGCGAGTGTGCGGCAGTATGTTGGAGAGACCGAACGTTTTGAATATCCGAGAAAAATACACTCCAGCGCACTGACAAGGGGACTGAAGATGAAATCTTTTACCATTCCGTTCTTCGTACGTGAGAGGACGAACGTGCTTGGAACATCCTGGAACGTTCTGTGCAGAACAGCCTTCCATGACTAGATTCTAGATTGAAAGAAGCCTGGTGTGCAAGACCTGGAAGTTCTTCTTTCGAAGCCAAGAGTGGGAATGGAAGTCCATCTCTCTGTCTCGTTCAAGGCACACACCTCAAACAAAGCGTTGGTGAAGCGTTTCTGTGTAGCCATGCAGTTTCTGCAAAAGGACTTTTCAATTTTTTTCTAGGTGTTCATCTACCTGGCCAAACTCCTTGAGTGCTTGATTCTGAAACCAACAGTTCTGACAACCAAGAGTCCAAGAGTTCCTCTTGGGTGGCTGTTTCCTCCCAAACTCACTCCACGGCTCAAGAGCGGACCGTTCCAGGGCCGTTCCAACCCGCGGACCGCGGACCGTTCCGTCACCGCTCCGTCTCGGGTCGGCCGGTCGTGTCGCCACGGTCGGATGGGCAAAGGTTGGGAAGGTCGGGCATGGAACTCCCACGAGGGCAGTGAGACTACAGTAGCGCCCAAGCAGCAAACAGCGTTAGGCAGTGCGGACTTTTGTTATTTTTTTATGATTCTTCTGTTTGTGTGTGTGTTCTTGTTTGTATTAATATTACATAATAGTACTATTGACTACTATTTAGTTTGTTTTTTTCCCGAGAGCTTGGAGGGTTTCCTGATTACTACTGTATCACTAGAGACGGACCAGCTTCTCTACTCTTGCAAAATATTAGTAGGCGCCCTGACATACAGCCAAGAATTCCTGAATGACTCAACCACCCGCCATCTCTACCGGATGAACGGATCGTAAAGAGCTCAGCACCACTCATCGGATCTGACGTCTCTTCAAAGCGGAAAATCATTTGATGGGCTTTTTTGTCCCTCCTTCCACCAGTAGCTCAGTAGCTGTACTTCATCAAGTACTTCATCACCAAACATAGTGGCTGTGGGTCAAACGCCTAAACCTGGGCATCCTAGTTGATCCCTGAAAGTGAACAGATCCCTTTAATTCCCCTTTATATCCCTTTCTAAGGGATGTCAAGTTCTGATGGTTTAGTGGGGGAGGGAGGTTTTGACTCATAGCCATATGGAATCTCCAAGTCCCGAGATCAGGAAAACAAGGAGACCGCAGTCGACCTGACTTCCTCATATCGGTCCGGTCGGGGCTCAACTGATGGTGTGTAGCACGAGCCCTGCTTTCCTTAAAGAAAGCAGGCGTTCTTTTGAGCCGAACTAGTTTTCAGGCTGCTGTATTATATAGGACCTTTACGGGATGCATTGGTGAGACTCGAGGGAACCCTTAATTTTTGGGACGATCAAAAAGATAGGAACCTATTCATTCAATCCATTGGTGAATGTTGTTTCAGCAGATTGGAGACGTGAACATGGAGAGTTGCCTTTTTCCCAGCCGAGGTTCTCACTGGCCTCCCAAAGACACTGAATGCTGAAATATTGCTGGGAGTTCTGGACGAACATTTCTACTGTTGCTATGACTACTTTTATTTACCCATGGATGTGGACAAGTTTCAAAGTACTGGTTTGGCTTATATCAATTTCCGCGAACATCACAAGGCTGTCGATTGCCAACGCTTCTTTCAGGGATTCACGACTTGGCCTGGGAGGCACCACAGCGAACGGACCTGTCGTGCACAGTGGTCCTCCATCCAGGGGTATGAGGCCAACATTGAGAAGCAAATGAAGCAGAACTGGTGGAAGTGCAATTTGCCTGAGGACTGCAAACCGATGGTTTTTGATGAGACGGGTGCTCGTTTGCCGACGCTGGATGTTTTTCCACCCTCCGAGGGGAGTGATGATGAGAGGGGCAGCAGTAGCTGGACCAAGAAATGGTATGGAGGCAGTTCAATGCTGCGCGAGGTTGACCGTACCGAGCGCCATCCTGGCTGGTCAAACGAGTGGCGCAATGAGGAATGGTGGCAAAGATCGGAGGATGCGCAAGACAACTACTCTACATCGAATTGGCGGGATCGGAACACCTGGGAGAATCCAGCATCTTCATGGAAGTCGGCGCCCCGGCTTCAAAGAATTTGATTCTACAAGGTGCCCGCCTTGTTTCAAAACCAACATCAAGCCACCGCAGCCCCTCAGGAAAAAAAGGACCTATAATCTCACACAGTGTAGTTGTTGGCCATGGCTCAAAAGCAGGGCACCCTGAATGCACTCTGGTCTCGATATGTCTCGATTTCTTGTTCTCAGCGCACTTTGCTACGTTTGAAAAGGGAGACTATAGACGATGCCCAAGATGACCCAACCATACCCAACCCATTGCTTTTTTGCATCTTCTATTTGGCCGAAATGTCCAGCTTATGGAGTCAGTGGCCTCAGGACTACAATACACGATCTTGGCGATGGGAACGCTACAGAGATTGGGACCCGAAGATTGGTCTGGAGGATCACGACGCAGGCTGGACTCGGCGCAGGCTGGACTGGCGTGGATACAGTCGAGCCCCTTGGCTTCAGTGGGTTCACGCTGCGACTCCCACCACGCCATCAATCCTTAGTTCTTAAACATATGTGAGTCCATGATGGTCCTTTTCTCAGATCGTCCAAGCCTCGCAAGCGCCCAGGACGATCCGGGGTGGACAAACACACCCGGTGAGGCCTCAGATTTCTCCACAGAGGCACCCGCTCCGCTCCGGTCGCCCGAGAGCAGAGAGCGAGCGTTTTCCTCTGGGGGCACGGCGGGGGAGAAACGTCATGGAGGTGAGGCCCGAAATTCTCGGTGAGGCCACAAGATCGAAATACACATGATTGTCACATGTGGCTGGTGTTTTCAGTTTTTTTTGCAAGCTGTGCACACTCGTCGGGTGACCATGCTCATGAAGGAGAAGACGGTGAAACTGCCAAAGATCAGGGTGACACGACACCAAGGATGAGTCCCTTACAGAGGACACAGCTATCATATGTAGAGGATGAGGCATTCATGAATCAGTAGAATCAGCAATGTGCCATGAAAACATTTGTCACGTGTGCCGGGTCCTGTTTCAGAGTATGTTCTTTGTTGTGCAATTCGCAATAGATTGAGCTTCGATGTGCTCTGCTAGGTTCAACAAGGGATCCCCTTTCCAGGGATGGTTCCTGCAAAATTAGCTGACATTTTCTCACAACCTATAGAGGCTATAGGCTTATAGGTGTAATTTCTCATAAACCACTGCGAAAGACATGGTTTGTGATTGGTATGAAGCTGAACACCATTTCCTTGGAGCAACCGTTCTCAACAGTAAGTGGTCTACACTGTAAAGCAAAACCTTTCCAATTCACAGGTTGGTGCTCCTCTCAGGTACACACCGTCCAGAATCGAAATTGTGCCAACACAAGTCTGTTCAGTTTGGCGAAGGTGCATTGTTGGCCGCCGGCCATGAATGTTTTTTGAGTTGAAATGGATGAACTAACATGTGTCTTGCGGAACATGTTTTGCTCATTGGACTTTCTGTGTTTGGGGGGCGAGTCGCCCGCTGTTAGAGAAGCACCCACCACACATTTCCCATGACATGATGTCCACGATGACCCAACCCAAACACCAATCTGGGTCTTTGTGAAACTTCACTCCAACCATCTCTTTGTCTCTTCCTTTCCGACTTCTCTCCCTCAGCTGAAGCACTCGGTGAATGTGGCCGAGCTCTTTCCGCACATGGTGGACGATGCGAGCGGCGGTGCCGACGAGGTCGAGGAAGGGACCTCGACGTCCTACACAGCACCAAGCCAGGCAGCGGTGCCAATCCAGGCACCGCTGTGGTTGGAGAGTGGTCGTGGTTGTTGGAAAAGATTGGAAGACATAGGATTTGTTGTTCATAATGAATAACTGCGATGAAGAGATTCAGAAGAAGTATGGTTGTAAGTTGTAAAGTAGTCATCGCAGTCGTAGCTGCAGCAGTCTTCATCCTGAGAAGGCGGAAGTTGCAGTCAGGAGGAGGAGGAGGAGGAGCCAGGAACACGGACAATAGAAGCAAATTCATTGCAACATATTATGGCACTCCCACCGATGAACCTGTGTTTCACAACCCTTTCATTGCTTATATTATCCTTGCATTTAGCTTACGTTTGCAAGGTTGGTGTTCACGATAAGACACCAACATGTTCCACCCGGACATTTTGGCTCAAGAGAGCAGTGCTAGCACCAAAGCACCTTTGCTGAAAAAGGCTCCGTAGTTCGCTTCCTTTAATTGAACACCGCCATGGCTTTGCATGGTTATGGACACCGAGGTGGTGTCGGGTCAGGACTTGGATGAGATGAGTCGAGAGGTGGAACAGGCCCGGTGTCCAGTGAGGGGTCAAAGATTACATGCGCACTCTTTACCCTTTGTCGGCTTTGCGGCTAAATCAAGGCCATGTGAGCACAGCTTTTGCGCTTTGCTGAGCCAAGGTCTTCTATGATTGGAGCCGCTG